CCTGCTGCTACCTGGCATATGCGATTCCCCTCTGCACACAGGTGGGGAGGTAGACTACCCACCATTTAAGTGCTTTGTTTGTCTGTTTGGATTTTCTTTTGCTTTTAAGCAATCTGTTTGTTTTCACCCCTGATAGTGGGGAGGAAAAGGGAAGTCCAAATCTATTCTATCACAGGCGTGAGGGAGGATCTAGCTTATTTTGTCTGTGAGTGAATGTGGATGGGATCTAGTAGTAAAAATCTAGCATTGGAGTGAGTTCTTCTCACGGTCAATCTGATTAGAAGCTTTACTGCTGTTTAAAATGGAACAGCCTGAAGACCAGGAAATATAGTTCTTTTTCTGTAACTAGTCTCTGTATTGCTAACCCCAGGGGATCTTCCATTTGCTGCAGGCTGAGCCTCGTAGGCAGTTTGTTGCTGAACTAAGCCCTTTAAATAGACAGCAAGTTTAAAAAAAGTACGTCCTGAAATTTTTGTGCTGATGAATTAGAATGATGTTCTAGCAAGCTCAGTACACTCCAAATTAATTAGCAAGGATCCTTTTAACAGGATAATTACTATATAAGCAAGTGGTAAATGCAAAATGAATGTCAGTAGTCCTTTCCAATAAGGAAGAGATGTGTTGCAGTTCTATCAACTGATTCTAAATTCACCCTAGTGTGAAGGGTTTTAGACAGCACAGCTGGTCAGCAGCAGCACTCTAGCTTTTTTACTTCTAGACTTGAATTAAAATCCCAAATGAAGTTGCGTTCTACTCTCCATATGTCTACCTCATAATGCCATGGTGAATGATGATTGGCTTTTTAAAATTTCTGCTGGAAAAAGGCCCAAAATAAGAAGAGCAGGAGGTGTTGCAAATTATTACTAAAGTATAAATGTTAGAAAGGGCTATGAAGTATATAAGACTTCCTTCCTTCTTTACGGGTGTGTATTTTCTTCTTTCATAATGGAGCAGCCTGATCCTGCATAGAACAGTAACAGCTCACAAATATAAACACAGGTTTACATGTTTGGGGGTTGGCATTTTTAAATAGGTTAATCTTTCAAAGAACAAACATGTCATTGCTTATCAGGCTATGGATAAATAAGCATATCGCTGCTGCCGTGGTGGTAGAAACAGTATTCATTCCCCAGACCAGATTCTGTCTTTAGATACTGGAGGCTTTAGAAAATAAGGTTTAATTGGGAATTTTTAATAAGGGAGGTTACCTTAATTAGGTCACTTTATATTTGCTAGATTTTTTTTTATGCTTCTCTGTACTCTTTTAGAATGGATGCAGAAATTTGTAAAAGCACCTGCTATTTTCTGTGAGAATGTAATTTTTAGGCAGATTTTCAAAAGTCACTTATCTTACTTTCAGCTTCTATAAGCTAAGCCCAGCAAAGTCAATGGTCTTACACTGATATAAAGTGTGTTCTCGGGAGAAATTTATCAGGCCCTATGTTGTTCACTCCAAATGTCAACGTAGTAAGTGAATAATTATTAACCATTTCTTAAAAATGGATCTCGACACTCAACAGACCAGACAATCTCTCAAGTTATTTCATGGGACCTTGTGGTGCTTTATAAAATGTGAAGCACAAGCCTGAATCCTTTTGTCTAGATTGTCTCATGAAACTTGAGCAGTGCCATCTTCTTTCTAGTTAGATTGTATGCCTGAGTCAGGCCACTTTTAAAAATCGTATAAAATGCAGACATTTTAAAAACTTGTCTTAACTGCAAGCACAGTGAAACCAGGGGGAAAAAAGTCTTTACAAATATTTTGGATTGGGGTTTTTTGTGTCTGTGTTCTGACTGGTAGAAATAAAGGCAAGTGCCTCTGTAGAAAACACCTGTGACAAATGCAGCTGTCTTCTAATGATCTGTGGGGCTGCTTTTTACTTAATTTTTTTTTTGTAAGGTTTAGGCTATTCAGACCATGCAGGTCCTAAAAGACAGTTTTGTTTATGCTGTTTCATGGTGTTGCATAGTTTTTAATCAAATCCAGCCAAGGATGAGATAACATTTGAACAAGATTTTTTTTCTCAAATTTCTTGAATGAACAATGTTTCAGTGTCACAGTAACAGTAGAAATCTGTCATCCCCCTTCACTTGCATGTCTGCACAGTTGTGGCTGCTGAAGTTGCTTCCATACACGGTGAACATACTGTTCATCACACTCTAGTTATAGCCTGACCATTGACGTCGTCCTTCTATTTGAATACATGCGAGTACATATGTTAGCACAGTGCCACCAAAGGTAATAACCAACTTTGTTAGTGTGCCAAACCTTTCTTGCTACTACAAACTATGGCTACAAAATCCCTGTGGATAATATAATAGGGAACTAGTCAAAACCCAGCATACAAATGGATACAAAAATGTCCCATTTCTATGACTTTGCTTTAGAAATTTCCCCTACAATTTAGAAGAAATTATTGATCTCTTGGTGCAAGAGATGACTTAAGCGCTCGCTCAAGGTGTGTTTCATCATAGAAATAGGCAAAGCCCTTCTGAAGAAGCTGTGGGAAATGCAACCTCTTTCAAGTCAGTAACTGTGCTCACTGATCTTCTGATAGAGCTTGGGATTCCTCTTTTGGAGGAAAAGCAACAATATCTTTCATTTCGGTATCTTGGTCAGCGGTAGCATGAGTACTAGCTTCATAAGGCTCGCATGGGCAACAGCTGACTTCTCCTTTCCTGCTCTTTTGCAGAATGGTAGCACGAAAGTCTAACGTTATCACTGCCAAACGATACAATTGTAGAGTCACAACTAAGATATTCTTAGCTGTAAAAAACACCAGCATCTGATTGAATATTCTGAAGTGGCCCATCAGGATTGAACGCACAATGAAGAAGGGACCGTCCTGTATGAAAAGGCTGACCCCAATGTTCCACAGTTCCGCGCTGTACCTGCACAGTAGCAGGCTGGGGATCCGCCTAGTTGATGCACTTGGTTTGCAGCCAATATGCTGTACTGGAAATAAAATACAGTTACGTTAAAAAAAAATCTCTAGAATTGAGCCAGGATTGGCCTAAAGGTACCCTGGATTATAAATGCATTCAACTATGAACAATTCAAGATAAAGAATTTCCCATTTCTGGGATCTGTTTCAGCAAAACACACTAAGCTCGTGTTAAGCAGGCACTTATGTGGTCTGCCAAACAGGACCAAAAACCGCTTCCCCTTTTCTATCCCACAAAACTATCAGTATTTATACACTTTTAAAACAAGAAGCAGAAGTAGATCATCTAATCTTTCTGTAACAACTTCCCTAGACACTTTTCTGTTAAATCAACGTGCTAGGCTAATATGTATTTTTAAGAAAAAAACCTACCATGCTGAATGGGAACAGCCTGAGCTGTAGTGCTTCAATTTGTTCCAGGCTGTCTAAAACCTTGCTTTTAAAGGATTCACTAGATAGCCATTGCCTTTTTCATGTGTCATAGTAAGAATAAGTCATGTCAGTGCGGGGCAATATCAAGCATTATGGATAGGAAGAAACTGTGGTCGCTGCTTGCCTTAGAAGACTTGAGCCACAGTTACTCATTCTTAGCCTTCTGGGTATGAAACTGCATGCAACTGTTGGAACTTGCATGGATGTGTTCCCCTTGGCTATAAAAGAGGTGGTGGGCTACCATGCTCTTCGTGACACGGTGTCTAGAGAAGGATCATCGGAAGGGTTTGTGCCTGGTAAACATGGCTGCCTCTTATGAAAATGCATGTAGCTTAACTAACTTGTCTCTCAAGCAGTGGGATTTTGTTAGTTTAAAAAAACATAGCTACTCGCAATGCAGTAACAACCAAGCCAAACATTTCAGCTTACAAAAATAGTTCTATTGTTTGAGTCAATGCTGGGAAAAAAAAAAAAAAGATGAGACTCGAGTAGAAAATGAGTTGTAGAATGTAGAAATTTGCTAAATCTATTAGGTAAAGCTTCAGCAACAGCTCGTTTTTTAATACTTTTTGTGCCATTGCTGTTTAATAGTTCTAACTGCATTGCTGTAGTGCAATAATAAGTGCCCATACGTTTCTATTTTATGTCATGTTTGATGTGTGAGTAAACATACTGATACTTGAATAAAAAGTACTATCTGTGCAACTGTATAGAACTACCTAAAATAAACTGTACCCATAGTAAATTTCAGGGCAATGTGTGTTCAATAACTTAATTTTTAACTGGTAAATGTAATTAAATAAGCAGAAAAGCAATAGCCAGAGAAAAATGCACAGTACAACAGGTTATTTCACTTAAATTCAAAGAGTGCTTAAACAATTGCAGCATTAATTTATTTGGATAGTGGTGATGTTTTGGGTTTTTTTATTTTGGTTTTTTTCAAACCTGAGTGTTGTGCATCTTTAACAGAAGATATTTTACCAGTAACAGGAATTTTAGCTGTGATAAATCTGTAGTGCAGCGGCATCAGTTTTTCAGGAGGTGAGCTGCTGAGCTGAAATATTTTCATAACTTCAGTGTTGAAAACAAAACCTAGTGCTGTCCATGAAGAAAAGGCTAATGAAAAATTCCTGGAATCATTTTGCATTATTATTTTATTCATTTATTATTTTAATCAGTGTGTCAACCTAGTCATCAATTTTGTATAAGATGCTACGGAGGATAATGTATCTTTGGACTGGTATAGTTGAGTTGCATACTTGTAGTGATCTGAGGCCAAAATGGTTGGAACAGAGGACGATTGAGGCGGCTTTCATTATTCTTCTTGGACATAGAGAAGCCCTTTCTGTCTAGGGACAAATATCAGCCTGAGCTGGCTGAATGTTGGGCCTTTTAGTTTAAGATAAGGGTGCACAGTCCCAACATTATATGGTTCTTTAGGTTCCCTGTGAATAGGTAATTTCTCCTGTGATAACCGCTTTTGTGCTCTTGGCTGTGCTGTCCCCTGTGATTAACGATGGTCTATCTCTCCATAGGGTCTAGTAACCTACCCAGATTGGAGCCATAATATAATCCAAGACCAAATCTAACTCAACAGCTCACATAGTGAAGTTTAAGGCAGTAACAGGCAACTGGAGCAGATGCTCCAATACAATATTGCAATTCCATTTTTTTCTGGAAGTAGAGAGTTTTATCAGGGAGATAAGAGGTTAGCCAGAAACAAGTGTTTCCTCAAAAGAAACCACAACGGGCTTTCTTCAAAAACCATCATTGTCACCAGAAGTCCTTGGTATAGCCTGTAGTGTGGGCACAGCCACAAGACATGCCAGCAAAAACTTAAAGCACTTGTTCTCTTTTCTTGTCTATGTGCAAGTACTAACCTGCAAGATCAAGCGGAAACTGTAACATACTCCAGGTCCATACAGCAAGAATTGCATTTATGAGAGCATAATTCTTCCTATGGGAGGGGAGAAAATCGGTAACAGTGAAGATGCACTTTCCTTATGTGGTAACAAATATGTTTCCTGTAGTATATTTGGAATGTCATTTAAAAGGTGGTTGAGCCAAACAGTGATTGATTAACACATGCTTTTGAGATGTAAGACTAAGGAAAACAGAGGCACCTTGTGGTTTAGCATTTTTGCTGGTCAGGCCACATGTTCCAGCTGTGTAATTACACTAAATATCTGATGCTAATGTTATAATGATAAGCATATGGAAATAGACTCTGTGGCTCAGAGAGGAGATATCTTTACCCTTGTAGTGATTACACACTCATTGCAAGCCTGAAGCTTCTCTGCCAAGTGGGAAGGACCTCTTTTCCTGCTGCAAAACCTTTTCTTTGATTTTTTTTTAAAAAAAAAAAAAAGTAGTATGTCTGTAAGAGAGGATGAACCTCTTCTGTGATTCTTTTTCTTTATGATGGATATTCACGGCTCATCTCTCAGTGCTGTGAGGGGGAGATGGGCTTACTTTCTCTGGGAGAGATCACAATGTTGAAAATTCACACCAGACTCTGCCATTCTCTTTCTTATCTCTGAACACTTTGTCATTCTATCATGAAGAAAGTACATACGAGATAACCAAAGAAGCAACTTGGATAATGAATCACTAAAGCAAACTCTAGTTGCTTCCTTGCTAGTCTAAAGCAATTCATTAACCTGAAAGAGGCTTACTGTGTATCCAGTATTTCAGCTCCTGTAGCTGTAAGAACTGACGCTGCATGGCAGTTATTTTAGTCGTTTGGCTCTTTGTACCCTTTTATTGTGATGGATGCAACACCCTTCTCTGCTGGCAACAGATGAGTAATCCCTAACAAAGCTCATAGGACTTTTACAGAGGGAAAGGTGAGAGTAGGAAAACAGAGCTCTTGAATATAGCCTTCTGTTATCTGTGGGAATACAGTTCCACTAGTCTGAACACTGCAGATCACACAAACAAATTTTCAAACAAAACAAATATCTTACCCTATGCAAATTATGTATGTCAGCAAAATGTCCTTACCGAACATCTTCGATGTCCAAGGTTTCACTAGCAAATTCAAGTATATCTGCTGCTGTTCCCACAAACATGAGAAGCAGCTGAGACAATTGATCCCGAGTGATTTCAACTCCAATGGGGAGAAGCCATCTCCCAACTACTAGTAGCAGTAGAAAAGTCTGGTGGAGGGCCAGTGTCCATACAGTCTCACAGATTGTGGAGAGCTGATTCACAAAGACTTTAGCCTGTTTAAAAGACGACAACAATAACATACCGTAACTTCAGGAGGCTGACATTACAGGTACCTTCAGAGACTGTATTTATCCTTGAGTCTGCTTTTGCTCTCCTTCACATTGTACTAGAGCAAATCATTTCTTTGTGGCAGGCATAATTTGAAAAAGGCACATTAATACAAACTTTGGGTAATGAATAGCAAGTTTTTCTCTGTGTACCATTCCTCCTGTTCTCATTTTTCAGCTGAGCATTATCCTGTGCAGAACCATCGCCCAGACACTTTCTAAATTCAGTTACTGAGATTTGGAAGAGAATGGTAGGAGAGTCTCCTCTTCACTCAGAGACTTTTCCTACCAACAACAGTATGCAGCATGCTGTAGGCCACTTCCACAATACGGTTTTCTGAAACTATTTTTTTCTTTCTTTTTCTTTCTTTTGTTTTAATCACTGTGTGAGGAGGTTGCCCAAATAGACACAACAGTCCTCTCTAATTGCTCTAATATCATAAGATCTCTACTAGGAATAGGAAAAGGTGTCCCACCGTCTGAATGATGTGGTGATCTGTTCCCTCACTTCCATGACTGCTATCTCTGGATTGATTGAAGTCTTGGTTGCTGACATTCACCTGAACTGCTCCGGGCTCATTACCACAGTACTGTTGTGAACAAAAACATCACACATGCATAAACATCCCACACAGGGAGCAGATAAGCTCTGTGGCTGAGAGAGTCCTGTTTTGCTGAACTGCAGAGGGTTCATTTGTGAAAGTCAATCGATGTTTACAAAGGTACATGCTCACTCTGAATGAAATTCTCCTCTTGTTCAGAAGGGAGGAATTCCTTTCATGAGGAGAGGAGTGATGTGTTGGAAGGTCCCTGAGAAAGTGTAGGATTGTACTGTAGAAGAGGATGTAAATTTAAAGGCTGATGGAGCAGGTGACACCTTTGTGCTGTTAAGACTGCACTCACTGAATGTGATCTGCCTGTAGCTCTCCTGAACAGGCTACTGGGTTTCCTACATAGCCTCTCTCTGTCTAAAACAGTAAAATAGGGTAAAAAATGGTCATGGTCAGTCTGCTGTTTTATGTTCCTGGTCAGTCTCTATATTCAAACTTTTTCTCAAAATATCTGCATCTCATCTCTACTATCCAGAAAAAAAATCTCTAAATATGCCATTGTTTCAGTCTTCTGTATGACTTCCCTGAAGGCTGAAATGAATAGTTGGGGTAGGATGTTTGGGTTGTATTCTCTGCCCCGCCCCCGCCGCCTCCCATCTCTGCCTTGTTCTGCAAGGAAATTCATAATGTAAGAGGTGAGATTCAGGAAAAATTAAAAAAAATGGGCCTGTGTTGTTGCCCACCCCTGCAGAGTAGAAAAATGGATATTTTTACTTTCTCCAGGTACCCAGTGCTCTGGGAAATCAAATGTTGGCTAAAACATTTGTTAATTTGACTGCAGTAAAGCAGTGGTGGGACTGTGTCCCATCTGAAGTCTGCAGCACTGCGCTGCCCTTCTACCTTCACCCCCAAGGCTGGCCCCAGAGAAACTGGGGTATGGTTCTAAAACCTATCTTCATAACAATCCCTTAACATCTCCCTTCATTATAATAAAAAAGGGATAATTAGAAAATCAAACCATGCTGTTATTAGAGTTTCATACTATTTGTGCCAGAGAACACCAGATGATTTGCATTTCTCCACTGGGCCCCCCACCATTTTATTTCACAGGGAGTGCTTTTCTGCAACAATTGGAATGTGTTCTAGTGCATACTGAGTAGCTGTGTTCAGCATAATGCCTGTCAACAAAAAGGCAACGTTTTCCAGCAAATGTCACATTCTAGCAAATTTCAGATTCCACTTTGATACTTCACTTGGTCTCTGATAATGTTTCTCAGTATCTGGGTAAATGCTGCCTCTTGCCTGACCTTGTTGTAGATAAATGGAGTGACTTCCCGTGGTCTGAAAAATCTGGAAAAAAAGTCAGTGCTTGTTGCTTTTATAATTGGTGGTAAAAGCTCTTAAACTGAATGCTTGCCTTATTTGGACAGTAGTACGAGAACTTTGAAAGATTGACACACAGATGTGGGGAACATGATATTTCCATTTGGAGGAGGGAAGTCTGAAGTTCTGGGCATGGAGACAGTGAGCTGGAGGGGCAGGTGCTCTGCTGGCTACAGCCTTGTGGGGCTAATCTCCCTTTTAAAGAGACAGAAGAGCTTGTTTGGGGGATGTTTCAGAAATGAAATTTAACTGGTGCTCTGGAGAAGCCTTTTTATCTGTTGATTGTAGAAAAAGTCTAAAGCCTATGGAGACCAGCCCCCAAGGTCTAAGTCAGCCTTTCTGAGTAACCCCCACCCACAGGCAGTGTGACACAGTCGGCTGAGGAGACCGTGACCTAAAAATATTGCGTAACTGGGGTAGCCACCCCAGAATATTAAGGAGTATCTACCTTGTAACAAGTAGCCTGGGTAGGGCAAAGGGATTACTAACTTTGCTGGAGGAGGAAGGCTGATTCACCTTGACAGCCTTTGGTTTGTCATTAAATCTGCATTTGAGCCCACTTCTCTGCTCCCTTGCCCAGTCTGGCAGGGGTAAGAGGAAGGGAGCCATGAACTTGCATTAAACTTCACATCAGAGTTTGGGAATTTTTTGTTTGTTTTTTAAAGCCCTGTTGCTCAGAGAGGAGTTTGCCGAATTTGAGGCAGGACCCATGTAGGGCAGCCTGCTGCATTTGCTGTATGTGTAAGGACAGTGGAAATCCCTTCCCGAACACTGACAGGAGAGTAATGGGAGGTAGCAAGGTGTATAGGTGCCTCTCAGCAGATGCCGTGGCTCTTCCCACGCCAACAATACAGAGCAGATAGCTCTCACGGCTCCAGAGCAGCTGGTCCGCTTAACCTGCGCAAGGGCAGAGGGGCTGCGGGAGTCAGCAACTCGCACTGCTGGAGGGAGGTGGAGGAAAGCAGGCCACGGCTTCCATGGGGCTTGCAAGGGGGCTCTTTTTTTTTTTTTTTTTTTTCCCCCTAGTGGCACAAAGGTGCAGAGAATACTTCTTTAAGACAATTAATTCACTTTATCAGTGTCTTTTGTAGGTTCCTTATATGTAATTTTTGCAACTACTCCCAGCTGAGTGGGGGGTTACTATTTCAGTGCAAGGCTCCCCGAACTCTGACTGAATGGCTCTCCTCAGGGCCGGGCCCGTATCTCTTCTCAGCTGCATGCAGGTGTGAAATGGATAACTGTGTCTGCAAAGCCAGTCATTTAAGTAGACTCCTGATTTTTAATTTAGGTGTGTTCATATCTTGTTTTGGTTTGTTTCTCTCTGAATATTTATTAAGTGGTGATTCACTTGAAAGTTTTGAGAAGAGCCTTTATTTTCATCATGTATATGCATGTAAATAGGACTGTTGGTGCCAGGCATATCTGCCTAGCCAATTATGCATGTGTGGTGACTTAATGGGAATGTGCCAAGGAAAAGCAAATACTAAGTTTCACAGGCAGTTGATAAGTGTGGTTTACCTCTTTACTGCTAGAGCCCAGTTACTCCTAGGTGTTGAGGCTATGTGCATAGCTAAACAAAAACTTCTGTGCAAAAATAAAATGGGAAGAAATTGTACACATTTTGCATAAATTCTAGCTTGGTTTACTTCCTTTTGTTTCTTCTGAGATGAAGTTTATATTCCTGTGATTTATAAAACACCTAATCAAAATGGAAACTGTGTTGCATGACATAGTGTTGTCCTAGCGTGTGACCTGCAGAGAGCTCAGTGCATGGGGAACTCCTGAACCACTGAACTAATTCAGCAAATTTCTATTTGCACGTTATTCACAATCCATTATTCCTAAGTAAAAACGAGGTTAGCTAAAACTTTTTGCAGTGGATCCAGCATTGAGGTAGTAAAATTGACATTTGAACACCAGGGCAGAGTACCCTCAATCCTGTTAACATGCATGGAGGCTGGCAGCCTGAGTACCTTGGGGAAGAGGCTAGCCCTTCCCTGGAGCAGACCCTCTGCCATTCCAGCCTTTCTTGCTGGAAACAGTGTTGCCGTCCCTATAGCAACACCTGTGATGTCAGAAATTCAAAGCAACCATGTCTGCTTCATTTCGCTCATACAGGAAAGCTGAAATGTAAAACAGGGAGAAAAGATTGCTTAAGCTGTTTTCCAAATAGAGAAAGATAATGGGTATAGGAGAGAAGAAATGGTGAAAGATGTAAGATCACTTTTAGAAGAGTTATGTACTAGAATTTTAGCTGATAAGAGAATCCCACCTCAGAATAAGGCTGAGGGAATGGGCAGTAATATTGACTATCTCCTTAAAATGTTCAAGTTAAGGTGGCTAAAAATAATTACAAGGCTTACCAAGTATCTATCTTATTACTGACTGGGAAGCCTACATTAACTACAGCACCGGTAGTCAGGTAAGCCCTGCAAAAGGTGGTCGGTTATCACTTTCTGTGGCAGTGATGCACCAGGCATTTGAAAAGGTAACAGAGGTATTTGTTTATCTGAGATCTTATACATTATGAAGAAAGAATGTTTCGTTTTTTAATGGATTAAATGGTTTTAATTTTCTTGCTGCTCTATTTTGCAGGCAGCAATTTTTTCACTCAATACAGTTCAATTTACTTTATAGTCCCTCCCAAACATGTATTTCATCCCCAAATACTTTACCGCAAAGCAGTACTTGCTATGCAGTCAGTATTTCACTGTTGATATATGAATGGTATTACTCATGTCCAGTTCTGCAGTACCCAGAGAGGCAGAATTGCGTCTGTCTTCAGGAGGAGAGACTGCATATTAGCACAACAGCACCAACACAAGCAGCTGATGTTTCCTATTAGAGATTCAACATGAGATCAAAGTTCTATGGCCTTAAAGACCACGAACTGTTTTCATGGTGAATATATTAAATGCGTGGATCTAGCAAATGCATAATTACCCATTCTGTTAGTATTTTAATACGGAAAATCTCAGCAACACTTTAGTATGAGAAGTAGTACTAGTCTGGGTGCTGCATTTGAGATTGTTAGGAGGGCTGCTCCCCTTCTGGCAGTATTGTTTTTGAATCTATTAGATTGTGTGTTTCCAGAACTCTCTATCCTATCTCTCCAGGTATAAACTAAGCTGTTAACTTGATATACTCCCTCTTTAATTCACAGTAGCAGTATATCAATAAGAACAAAGTATGCCATGTTCTAACATCATTTTGGGAAATAAACTGCTGCCTTTGCCTACAGAATTAGCCTGTTTCTTGGACGAGATTTAACTATGACAAATGTTCTCAATATCCACATTACCTGTCTGTGACTGTTTAAGGAGATTTGGCAAAACAAGACGACAATAAATTCATGCTGCTGTATTTAGAAAAAGCCTCAGGCATTTTCAGTGTAAACACAATTTTGAATATTTGATTATGCTTCTGTGGGCTCTAACAATGTTTCAAAGGAGAAAATGAGGCACTATGTCTTCTTAGTCTAATTTATGTATTTTCTTCTGTTGCTTTTTGCTCTTGTTCCTATCAGGCCCTTTACTGCTGTGGATGTAAGGTACTGCATATGTGCAAATGCTGGGACACATAAAATCGCCTTTTCAGTATGTGGAAGTGCTATGGGGACATGAAAACAGCCTGCATGGGGAGGTGGTTCATTTGGCGTGGGCTGCTGGGCTAAGTGGCTCTGTCCTGGCCCTAACTGACCCGAACTACCAAATGAACAATTGCCTTTAAAAATTTTACTGTGTGTTTTAGTCCTGAATTGGAATCCAGACACCCCCCTCCCAGATTACTATACAGCATGAACAAAGAAAGGATATAAACACTGACAGACAAATTATTATGTCAGCTGTGCTAGCAATCTGTGAGTATTCTAGGTTGCAGCAAACACGAGGTAATTTGAGTTTAAGACCCCTTTCACTGATACCTGTCTCAATTTTGGCTGGCTTGGAGTTGTGGTATCTGCCTGTAAGTGCTATGGAACTCATACTTTATTTTACAAAGGCCTCTAAAGCAATGAAATTCTTTCACCATCCTGAGCAAGATTCAAGCTGGTAACCTGGGGGTGAAAGGCTGTTTTTCAAACTTCCAGTCCTCAATTCCCCAGCCAAATACAAATAAATGGTCTCATTTTTAGCTAGGAATGGGGTTCATTATTTGATATTTAGGAAACGCACAGTAGTCATAGTATAGCTGTAGCTGGATTGGCAGACCCACCAGTATAAAATAGAAAATTGGAACAAGACCTGGCAGATTTCTGTGTGTATGCCCAAATCCAACCTATCAAATAATGCATCAATTTCATCAATTTCAAACTAGTCCATCTCATAATAAATACCTGAGTCCCATGATGAATTTCTAGTAGCCATAGTGATGGTACTGTGCAAATCAGATATAAAAATATTGCTGGTGAAAACCTGTGAAGGAAAAGAAAAGATAGCTTGGTATTACATCACATCATAAATACCATATAACCTATCACTTTTCAATGCAGATAATATCTTGTGCCTCCTACCATATGGGATATAAAGAAATAGGGTAACTGCAAATAAGAGTTGCTATTCTTGCTGAATTCCTTATGCTGTCAGTATTACGAATCGTAGGTTTATTTGTATATCTATCTAAGATCATATATGGAAGTTTACTCAAAATCTCTTTTTAAGAACTAATCAAAGGCACTTTGCTGTTTCTATTTCCGTCACAGCATTCTCTGTACTTAAAATAAAAAAAAAAAAGCCTCTAGCTAACATGCTCTTTCTGATTGCATAACATGCTCTTTCTGATTGCATGAAGGGTGAATTAATACACTGAGTCATTTTGCTGAATGATGCTGGAATAAAGGCTGTTGATCAGAATCCTGTACATTGACACAGGAAAGGTAGAAATAGTATCACTTTGTGTAAAACAAGCATTTCTTCAGAAGGAAGTCTTTCAGTGCAGGCTAAAATGGCTTATGAAAATGGGTCTTGGCCTTGTTTGCCCATTTGTGCTGGCAATTGTATAATTCTTTAGGATTTCTGTCTCTAGTTCTTCTCTCCCTGTCAGTCTTCTGTATAACTTAGGATGGTGAAGCTTTATTATCTTCAGCTTCTTGAGCTGAGTTTATTCAGAAGTACTAGAGAGGTTTCATTGCTCCTGCAAGCACTGATTCTTGTAAGGGTTGCGGATGTATTCTTATTAAACACGTGACAGTTTTGTTTGGGGTGGCAATTCCTATCCTTTTGGAATAGGAATGAGGTCTGATGCCACTAATGTTCCATCTAGCTCTGCCATAGTTCGGAGTGAGCATCACTGCAATGCTGCTGAGATGCACAGCAGCCTTTGCATCACATCTATGTACTGGCCCAAGACAGGGCAGTGGAGTCAAAACTCGGGATACTTGCCTGATTCCTTCTATCCTGTCAGCAGCACGTTCTGCAGTGAATTTAAATTACTTATCAGTATGTAACTGCAGCAACATTTTGGTCAAATGTTGTTGCATTTATTGTTTGTTCCTATCCTGAATGTACCTTTATTTTTGTAATCATGACTTTTCCAGTGGAGATTAAGTGTTGAGGAAAAGAAAAAACCCTACTGCTCAGGAAAATGACTGGGTTGCTGAGCTGCTATGAAATGTTCCAATCAATCCCCTCTAAATAAGATAGTCCTGGTTTGATTTTGGGGTTGTTTTTTTTTGTTTGTGGGGGTAGTGGGGTTGTGTTGTTTGTTTTGGCAGTGGGATTTTTTGTTGTTTGCTTTTTTAAAAAAAGTTAGTGATTCTAGGGGTTTTAGCCTCGTTATTTTGGGAGAGAACACACCTCTCATTTGAATGGGAGCACTAACATATTTTACAGTATTTCCTGTAGGACTTGAGCACATGAAAAATCCATCCAGCTGGCAGGTTAGCAATACTGAGCTAATGATACCAGATCAGGCTAGGAGACTTCAGGGGCTTTAACCCTGCCTTTCTTTCAGAAGAAGCAATTTAGAGGAAATATTACATGGCTAGGCCCACAATAATACTTTTTCTCCACATGTGCCATTCAATTTTTTGTGCTGGTGTAATAAGTAAGTCTTCTGTCAATAAGGAATGGAGAGAATAGGAGGCTCTTGGAGGCGGGAGAGTCCTGTGGCACAGACTGCCCATTGCCTGGATCAGTGATTGCCTATGGAGTTGTTTCTATAAATGCAGGTGATACTGCCTGTTTTGAATGCGAGTGTTTTCCACCAGAGCAGAAAGTTATCCTGGTACAAATAGATGCTGGCTGTTTGTCTACAGTTCTTACCTATAAACGTACTTTACTGTGCTGCTTAAAGTGCTGGACCACATCCATTTTCAAAACTTCCTTCTAGCTAAATTTAACCCAGTCTTCTAGCACATGTATTCATCTAAACTGAATCTGCTTTCTGTATCTGTTTTTCTTTGGCTTTTCCAAAAGCTGCCACAGGAAGTGTTCCTTCATGAAGTCTCTGCTGCTGCCTCCCCTCCCCAGTGAATCGGGTCTGCTCACTCTGCCTCTGTCTCATAACTGTGCGTATAGAGCTCTGCTGTTGCTAAATTTTCCTGTGTCCCAGACTTTATTGCTGCTTTTATTCCATTCAAATTTAGAGCATGGACACTTGTGTGAATTGTCACGCAACACTGCTTCTGTTATAATGAGTTTCACAGGTTGCAATGGACAGGAATTTAAGATCATTGAAATGCTTTTGGGCTTTTTTTGTCCTGGATTTGTTTCAGAGCCTGCCTGCAGTTTGAACTTTTAAAAGTAAAAGGTCCTAGTGAAATCTTGACAATTAGTTACGTGACCACTTCGTCTTTTCAGAGCATTTGTTTTGGCTGACTGAGCGCTGATGAGCTGTAGATGACTGCAGTAATTCTTTAGATGCATGTAAAAACCCATGTGCTTGGGCAAACTCTGCTATGACTAACTTTTTTGTTTATTTCTCAGGCAGCCTTTCATGCATGAAAGTTCCCCTCTGGAATAGCCTCTCACATCCAAATATTTAAGCCACTCTAGCTTTATTGCAAGAGTGGTTGGTGCTCATCTTTTATTTGTCACTGAGTTTTTGTTCATGCACTAGCGTGGCGTTAGCACCGTTGCAAGTAGCAGGGACAAGGAATGCAGTCCCAGGGAAGGAGGTGCAAACCAGAGCATGGCAGGATGGGGTAAGAGATGCAGGGCATCCGCATGGAATAACCTGTGCGGGCCCCCCAGAACTCTTCTGCACCTCACATGTGTTGTCCCTGACACGTTATTGCTTAGGGGAGTGCCCAGCAACACTGTGAGGGAGTGCGTGCCCCCTGCTTCCCCAGCCCACTGGATCAGCAGCTCTAAAGCATGTACCTCTTGCCTGCAGCTACTTTAACCACATTTTTCAGCTGTTAGTATGGATATACCCACAGAACTGTACAGAGAGTGGTTCCCAAGTAGTCTGCTGCAAAACTGCCCCTCCTGAAAGCCCTCTGGATTTGGCAATGGATTAGCCAGGGCTTTACCAGTTTTCCACCCCCCAGCCCCCAGGTGCAGCAGGGGAGAAAACGCAATCCCCTGAAAGCTTGGCAGCAACAAAGCCAGGGCAGCACTGCTCTCGGGCAGCAGCCGCAGAAGGCAGCCTCACATCTGCAGCAAAGTACATGCAAAGAAACAAGAGGGGCTCCGTCGGAGCCGGTGGGATATGCTCACCATTTGTAGCCTCTGCCTTGCTTAAACTTGAGGGTGAGCCCTGTCTCCAGGCACAGGAGAAGATTGAGCAGTGCCAGCAGCCAGTACTTGGGTTCTTTCTTCACTGCAGTCACTCTCCAAACCCCGATGAGAGAGTGCAACACAAAGAGCAGGCGAGTAACCAGAGCATTGAGCAGCACCATCAGCTCCATCCTGGACCAGCCCCCCTCCCCTTTTCCCCGCGCTGCAGGGGCCCAGCGCTTTTTAGGAGTCCTGGAAAGTTACCCTGGGAATCACTGGGAAGCGTGCGCACCACAAGCACACAGATCTCTTCTCCTCTTCCATCTCCACTAAAGGGGCCCATTATAACAAAAAAGAAACAGCGTTGCCCCTCCCCCAGACTTCCTGAAAACTTTTGAAAGGGAAGGAAAAAAAAAGCTCACGCTTCCAGGCCACGGTGGCTTGTAGCGCTCCGTACAGCTCTGACCACGCTAAGACAGGGTGTGAAGGGTTTCTTTCTGTCCCCTCTCTATCGTCTGCTCAAGGACTAAATGGCAGGGAGGTTTCTATCTCACACAGTCACCAGCCCTCTGCTAGCCCCACTTGCTGTTCTCGTCTCATAGATTTCTAGCAAAGAGACAAAATGTAAGAAGCATTATTAATTTGAATCTTCTTTGCTAAAAGCTCCACTGCATTACTGAGACTGAACAAACCCTCTTTCCTCTCCCCTCCCCCTGAAAGATACATTTCATATTTGGAGCTTTTAAAATCGTTCATTTAACATTGCAATATGGAAAGCAGAAACTGTTTACGTAGTTCAATACTGGAATCCCTGTGTGCAACAGAAGTTAGAAAAGCTAACCAGTACTGAAATCTAGTCAAACTACTATATTGTATAATCTACACCCTGCTTCAGGACTAAGAAGCAGCCCCAGTGAGGAACTCCAGAAATCAGGCTGAAATCTGGGCTAACGCTAATGTTACCAAATAGGCCAATAGGGACATACACAAAAAATACACAGAAGTTTGACCGTTAGGTCAACAGTGGGAACAGTTTACAGAGTATGTTTAAAAATTGCTTTGATGTTTCTCATACTGATTATAAATTTCATTTGAATTTACACTTGGGTAACCAAAGAGAAATTTCTTCGTGATGAAAGAAGAAATTTCTTCTTGATCAACATTGTCACTGTTTTGTGTTAATTTACTGCCAAAGCACTTAAATTGAGATACACCGTTGTAAAATACAAAAGGAAAATCAAGTCCATGTAATGTACTGTGGCAATCCAAAGGTCCTAACTTCCTAGCTGATTTCATTTTAAATATCCTGTTCTACTTTAAACACAAGGAGATATTCTTCTAAGAGTTGTGACCTTTGTAAGATCTTTTTCCTCAGTTGCTAAGATCCAAGCTTTCCCCACTGCAAAACCAAGCCTCTTTCTCTATGAAGTGCTGAAGCTGGTGCTGGCCAGCTGATATCCTTGGGGTGGGGGGAGATGGGGGAGAAGACTACTTAAAAAATAATCCTGCCCAGAAAAAAAGAAAAACAAAAGGCCATTCCACAGTATAGATCACTCACTCAGGAAATGCCTGAGTAAATAAATGGACTGTGCAGTGTGCCTTTTTGAAGCAACAAAATGAAGCTCCTCACACTCAGAGGAAAATTAATTCAAGTCAAGGGCCTACTACTGATAATCCCCTGCCAACAGCCACCCTGCCATATCGTGCCTTGAGTGCTGTTGGTTCACAGCCCTTCCGTTGGTGTTAAGGTCAAACCTAGTTGAAGAGGAAACAGGGAACAGACAGAATTGAGAGATTGTTTAAACAAGATACTTCTCTGTGGGAGTGCTTGATGTCTAAGAAATGACATGGGGGAACTGGTATGTCTAATTGTTCATGGAGATCCTAACAGCGCAGATGTCATAAACTTGGAAAGATGATGATCAGTGGGACATTCCTATGATATCATGTATTCAGGAAGGATGCGGTGAGCTTTGCTGATAGCTAGTAAGTACTTCTGCATATTAAAGACGCTTTGGAGCTGAGCTGCTTAACAAGGTAATCTCATCAATGAACAATCCAGACTTCACATCGGTGGAAGCCCCAAACTTAAGTAGGAAGAATATATAATATTGACTCTGCCTAGCTGACCAGTGGGCCATGATGGCAACACAACAGGCTGAGTAGAGGGAGGAAGTAAGTAGGTATGGATGACTTCAGTTATTCAGTCTAGAAGAGGCAAAAATTGCATCCAGACTTGACAGAGGACATTTTTAGATGTCTCACTGGCCGTTCTGTGGAGCAGCTGGTTCAGGAGCCCATGAGGGCAATGCTTGACTTTAATCCTGAGTGGTTTACAGGATATGATGTAGAGACTAACAGCTGAAGAACTCCCCTGAAATGGGGATCTTAACATGCTTAGACTCAGCATCCTCACAGGAGTAAGACAAGCCAGAGTTCTCTAGCATTGCTGTGCTCAGCTTCAAAAAGGAAAACTAGACACAGATCAGGAAGCTTGTTCAAAGTAAGACAGATGGAAGACCTAACTCTTTGCAGGGAGTATGGATATTGCTTCCGTAAATCAAATGGGAATTGCAGAGAAAATAACTGTATCAAGAAAAACTTGAGAAAGAGTGAAAAGAAGCCAGCATTGGCAGGGTAAGTGAGATTGCAGGAACAAGAAGGCATCCTTCAAAAAGCTGAAGTGGTGTCCAGATGAAGAAAACTGAAAAGATGATAAACTCTGGCAAGTTAAGTGTACAAACATGATAAGGCTGGCTGAAGGAGTGTGAGGGACAACTGGCAAAAAGCATAATAACTAAAATGTCTGTTATCTGTTCAAACACATCGTGAACAGGAAGTCTGCCAGGGAATTGTTGGGTCAATGGATGGTCAGGTGGCACAGAAGCCCTTGAAGGGTGATAAGGCTGTGCAGGAGGAGCCGATGAACTCTTTGGAGACCCAGCATGAGTACAGATGTACACCGTAGCATGGGACAGCATTGACTCCTGCACAAAAGTTTATAGAATTAGTGTGGGTTTTTTCCTTGTACTAGTGTTCCACTAATTCTGTTCTTTTCATAGGTTCTCTAATTTGCAACTTATAGTTGTCAGGCTAATTGATCACGGGCTAGGGAGTACTTGGGGGAGAAACTTTGTGTTTACCTTGTTCTTGTACTCTTCCCCTGAGCATGGAGTTAGGTCTACTGTTGGAGGCAGACAGTGGAATAGATGGACCTTTGCTCTTACCCGAAATGGCTACACTAGTAGAGTAGAGACTCTCTAGTCTCTAAAGAAATTGACCTGGAGTGAGAGCAGGACAGTTTATGCATATGTTGGTAGTGTTGGTTGGATCCAAGCTCAAAGCAAGACTCATGTCTGTATGGCGTGCTCTGTTAATGATATACCCTCTCCTTTTTTCTGTCTGGAAACTTTGTCCATGCTGAGAATTGTCTGTGTCTGGGAACCTTTGAGAGTTAGATGCTTCCAGATGAGCTGCTGTACTCTGGCAAATCCTGGACATGATGGTGTAAACATGTCATGGTGCATGGGATTTTCATGCAAGACACCTTGGCAAGACCTACTGCATGTCTCTTCCATATAATAGCTAATTGTAGCATGTCTGATGCATTTGGGAAATGTTAAACCTTACTGTGCCGCCAGCACCAGTGACCTTCTGCAGGAATAGGAAATCTGGCACTTCAAAAAGCTGTGCCACAGAATCTTTGCACATGCATTTATCTAATTTCTACTTTTAGGCTGAGTCACTATGCTGATTTCACTAAACAGACCCCATAACTGTCAGAAATTTGAAATTGCTCCAGTTCCCAAGAAGAAACTAGGGTTGGAGATGGATCACAAGCTGAATGCAAGTCAGCAGTACCATGCTGTTGTGAAACGGATGGTCACATTAGCACGTAGATACAGAACAGAAACCTGCAAAGCATCTGCTCTCCTCCACTTGGGAAGGCCTTAGCTGCCCTACTTCTGGTCAGTGAGGGAGAATCCAGTGGAGAGTGCAAGGGTGTTCCTATAGTAGGAAATGAATAAATTGGATAAACAAATGGTTCATTTTTAAATAGCAAAAGTGACATCCTTACTAGGTTGCAGTGCTTATAGAATCACAAGACCCCTGTTCAGGCACCTGGAAGACTCCAGTTTGGACAGGAGTGCAGGGGTTGGAAATCAGTGAGGAAGAGTTCTGGTACAGAAGTTCTGGGGCTTTTGGTGATCATGTGTAGTGTTTTTTTTTGAGGGGGAGCTCTGAGCAAAGGAGACTGTTTCAGAATTTACTTCTATTGCTTACTTACAAACTGGAAGGTTTTGGCAGTGAAATTTGGGGGTAGTGGCTATTTGCCATCCTTACTTCAAGAGACTTTGAAGATTTGATTTACAATATTCATAAAAAAAATAATTATAGGGTATTAAGCAAGTAGCAAGGGTATTAAGAAAGAGACTGGGCATGAGAATGGGTCATAAATTCAATGTGAGGCAGCAATGTTGTTCTGCTATGAAGGAGGCACACTGGGATATATAAACAGACCTGTAACATACCAGATTTGAGTTATTACTTCTGCCTTGATGCTGGGAAAGACCTCAGCTAAACTACCCTAATCACCCTAAGGTGATGCATTTCCAAGAGAGATCTGACGGGATAGAGTGTCCGGAGAACAAGATGACTGCTGAGAAAAGAAAAAGGGGATGCTGTGATTCAGTCTAGAGAAGAGAAAACTGAGGAGAGATGGAAGTGGCCAAGTGTTCAGGAAACTGTTGCAGGGAGGCCAGGAATAGCCCATTTCCCAGTCCCAAAGCATAGGGAAGGAAGTAAAAGGCTTAAACAGCAAGAAAGATTGCAATTAGATGTCTGGAGACATATCTTGCTAGGAAGGAGAGTGAAGCGCTGAAATAGATTGCACAGAGAGATGTTGAATCTCCATTGTCACAGGCTTTTAAGCAGAGATTAGGGAAACATCTGTCAAGGAATGACAGCAGTTTAGCTGATCACACTGTGGGGCAGAGGGCTGACTAGAAGATCTCTGGAGGTTTCCCCAAGTTTTACCTCTTGGGCTCTAAGGTTTATTTCTTTATTATCTGATCAGTCTCGAGTCTCTGAGGAAGTTTCTTGCTTAAATTAAATCTGTGTGATTTTCCTTCCAGTAGGGTTCTTAAAGAGGAGGAAATTGTTCTGTTTTCTGAATGCTTGACTGCAAACAGTGAATAATTACGACAGCCTTATAGACAGATCACAACAAGTGGCAATTAACATACATGTTGAAATGAATAGGAATGATTCAGTTTTACATGTGAAACAAAAAAATCTATCCGATTCTGGCATAAGTGAAAGCCTGACTCCTGCCG